AACAATTAAAGGAAAAATCAACACATAGCAGTTAATATCGAAAAATATAAAAAATATAATTGAGAAATGTGTTCATACACCATGAGAATACGCATCTCCTTTTCTTTGCGCTTGATCTTTCGGATGATGCTAAGCAGACCCATTTTTCGTTAATCAACAGCTGGTTCTGATTCCAATTCCGACAAAAAAAAACGTCGAGAAGAAATGGGATTCAGTTCACTTCTCAACTTTAAATTGGAATTTCAAAAAATAATTTACTGATTTGATTGGCAATTTAATTTAGAGCAAATCACAATTGAAAAGTGCTTACTGATGATGGCAGTGAGAATAGATCTGTAGGACTGGTGGTCGGAATCTGTACGCTAGTGAAAGGGGAAACAAGGGCGATGAATGGTGGAAGTTGAAATTTTGCACTGGTGGTAATTACGAGCTGGCTCCTAATTTCACAAGTCGATCCTACTCGACTCGTAAAAAAAAATTGGGATTTTTCAGACTTTGAAATAGTTTTGAATTCGGAGAGGATAGTTTGTGGAGAGTAGGGTACAGTGATGTTTATGTAGGAATTTGTGGATTGATCTGGTTGGAGGATGTGAGTGCCTACAGATTTTAAGCATATCAGCCGTTCATTAGACTAAACAGAGGCTTAGATTGCAATATAAACTTTAATTTGATCAGTTAGGAAAAATATGCTGACAACGACCTGCTTTGTCTGTAATTCGATCTACTTACAAGAATTTGCTCACTTCCATTTGTGTAGAAATTAGTATTCCTAGTTTAAGAGACGATACTTTTATGCTATAGCGAGGACACTACTTGGACACTCAACTATGTGCATTTTCTTTCTTTGGCCGTAGTTATATATGATTTAGCTTGAAGTTTTGACATGACCGGCTACTTCTCTGATTTAAAAGATTTTACCAACAAAAGTTAAAACTATGAATTGAAAGCTATCGATTTTATTGAAAATAAAAAGTAAAAGAAAAATATAGTATAATAATGAACAATTTTTAAAAAATTGATTTAATGTCCCCAGCTTGACAGTATCCATCTCCCTGTCATATCGTGTCCAAGTAGCGTGTCCATGTCCATGCTTCTTAAGCTTTTATGTGTTATGAAGTAGAATGAAGTCATAGTTATTAGTTCTTCCTCTCTTTCTGTTAGTTAGACATTGAGATATTCTGCATCCAAATTCCATTTGTTGGCTATCACTGAGAGAGACAAATGAGGGCTCTGAGAAGCTTTGAGACTTCATAGAATCACATTGAGATTCAATGCAGAGCCATCACAATGAATTTCTGTAACAGAGGTTTTCATTTTCCACTGCATCTTTATATTCTAGTGCAACACGCTAGTGAAGTTGTCTTATGAAATGGATGGGGGCTGGTGAAGTATACTAGCAGTCTAGCATCAAGATCCCTTGGTAACAAATATTATCCACAATCCACAAGAGTCTTGTCAGGGGCGGAGCCAAGTATATTGTTTAGTGCGGGCACAATTTAATCAATGCCAAACTTTGAGTTTTTTGGCCAATGATAAAAATATAAAACAATATTACTACAATACTAAAAATGACATAATTTATAAATTACACTAGTTCCTTGCGAGTTTTCATACTTTGAAATCGTTCTACAATTACACTGGGTTTTTCTCGTTTTTCGAGGTTTCCATTTTCTGAACTTAACAACTAGGATCCAGTGGAGTTGATTTGGGCTTGTTTACATGATTCTGTGTCTTGAGTGACTTTTGGAAGACAGAGGAGAGGGGCAACACCAGAATCCCTCTGGGATCATAGCAATTGGAATTAATCTTAGTTTGACCCTGTTCTACTCTTGTAGTCTAATTTCAGCAAGAAATTCAACCCCTAAGTCATTTTTTGGCTCTTACAAACGAAAAATGTGGAAGAATTCCAACAAACATTTACTTCTACCCAAATTAAACAACTTCTCTGTCATCAATTAAGGTAAAGAACAAAGGTCTAATTTTAAATTTAAACATCGTTCCTCTTACAGAATCTCTGTAACTGACTGAAATATATACAGAGAAAACATACCAAATTTAAATTCAGACACAAAAGCAAACATAAAGTGCTGGACTAAATTCCATTACAACAGAATCTCTCCACAAACACTGGTCTCAATTGGAAAGAAAAAAAACATAATCTTTATGACCAATAATGCATATCTTCAAAAATCAGACAACACAAAACGACAACTGGTACAAGAAAAAGGTAAATACAAAACACAATTCTTCAAAAAATTTCCTTTTTTTTCATACAACGAGCTCAAATCTTAGTCTAAGGAATTTAATATACCATTCTAAGAAAACTCAGAAAAAGTCAAAGACTGACCAAATAGATGAGAGGCGCCGGTGGTGGAAGGTGGCGAGACGGAGAGGAGGTCTTCTTCTGCCGATGGAAGGCGTCGAGGCGAGGGACTCAGAGGCGAGAGTGATTGTTGAGAGAATTCAAGTCCCAGATTCGTCGTTTTAGCCTTCAGGTTTGGATTTGCCCATGAGTTTGGGATCTCCTTCCATGGTGAGAGATGATATTGGATTAAATGGATTTCGATATTGGATTTGGAATTGGGTCATATTATATTTTATTTACGGAAAAATTCATAATTAACTTGTATTCTTTACCTCAATTCAAAAATAATAGAAATAGTTTAAAAATTCAAAAATCAGGTATAGATTTAATTAATTAAAAATATT